CTAGCAAACAGGGTTAAGTGACCTGCCCATAGCCACACAGCTAGTAAGTGTTTGAGGTTGGATTTGAACTTAGGTTTTCCTGACTCTAGGCCTGTCACTCTATCCACTGCTCTGTCTAATATCTGTCTCCCTTTCTCCAATTTTCCCGCCTTGTTGTCCCAAATCAGATAATTGTGAGCAATCGTCTTTAGTACATGGGGAGTTAAACTGTGATAAGAACAGGTCATCATAGTGGTCCCTGGTGGAGAGGGAAAGGTATGGCAGAATTGATTTTTTTGTTTATCTACTTTTAGAGATGGGCTACCAGATAAGAGGAAGAAATGTCTCAAAGGCCAAGGCCAGTGTAGGGTGGTGACCAGGGTTGGACTAGGTTCACAACACTGGAAACATTAAGAAGAAGGCTTCAGCACCAAGATATGATCACAGTTGCAGATTCAGGAATTCAAAATCAGAATCAGTAGTAAACAGGTTCGTTTTTTGCTCATTCTTTTGGACTAGATATGTGATTTCATCAGACTTGGAATTTCTGGTGAGGAAATTCCTATCAAACCAGATCAATAATTCATCTGCAACCTCTGTTCTTAGAGAGCTGCCTGGGGCACTAAAAGGTTACTTCCTCAGAGTCACAATCCAATCTGTGTCAGAGGTGGACTTGAACCCAGATCTCCAAGTCCAGATTTCTCTTTCTACTGTACCACATTGCCTTTCCATTGGACAAGTCAACAAGGGTGAAATCCAGAGAGAAGAGAAGACAATGGCAAGTTGAATGATCAAAGACAGCTCAGAAAGTCAGGGACCAAGGCTAGATTCCAGGAGCCAATAGAGGGCATAGGTTCTAACTCAACAACAACAAAAAATCAGCCCACATTCATAAAGTATTTTAGGGTCACAACAACCTAGTGAAGAAACTGAGGATACTTAGTCTGAAGAAGAAAAGGATATCTAAGGAGATGATACCTGAAAGACTGTCATGGATCAGGAGCTGCTTGATTCCAAAGGCAAAAGCCAAGAGTTGTTTCCAAGGGGAAAATTGAGGCTTGAGGTCTACCCATATAGGCTATTCCAAAGTGGAATGATTTGCCTTGGGAGGCCACGGATTTCCCCTCACTGTAGATCTTCAAGCAGAAGCTGAAGGACCATGTGTCAGGGATGTCTTAGAGGGGATTCTTTAGGAAAGTATAGGTTGGACTAGATTCTTTTCAACTCTGGAATTCGGGGATTCTGAGAGAGAAATCAAATATATCATACAGAGAGCTAGTAACTAACTGTTAGACTCAGGATTCGAACCCAGAAAATGGGGGTCTTCTGGGTCCAAGGCTGAGGTGCTTTCTTTTCCATCCTGTTGCCTTTATGCGTTAGGTTAACCTGACAGCATTCCTATGTGAAACTGGGAGGAAGGAAAAAAACCCCAGCAGTCTTGAAATAGAACACATCTGCCCGTCTTTTCCTAGCCATCTATTTTCATCTGTGCCCATAATGGAAGCAAGCACATTTGGAAACGATCATTTTATGGTCCCAGGTACCATGTAAGGATAGGGAACTTAAAGCACAACTGGGAGAATTGATTTAAATATATAACAAAGAAATTTTAGTTGGAGGCAACTAGTTTGCCTATATTTGTATTTATTCACTTTATACTTATGCTGTATGTCTTTATATATATAGTTGTTGTCTCCACCATTCAGGGAAAAATGGGCCAGATTGTTTTTGGAAAATGCTGGGTCACTTTCAGAGATTCCAAACTGCTTGCTATTACAAAAACCCATTTCTTGATGCCAAAATTCTCCTGGTGATTTTATATGGTTATGGATCACAGATCACTTTATATGATTATGAATCGGGTGGCTTAGTAGGTTGAGTATTGGACTTTGAGTCAGGAAGACCTGAGTTAAAATTCTGTCTCAGACACTTACTGGCTAGCTTTGTGACCCTGGGCAAGTCACTTAACATCTCTCAGCCTCCAAGTTCCTCATGTGTAAAAGGAGGGGGAGGTTGGACATGAAGACCTCCAAGGTCATTTCCACATTTAAGTCAATGACCCTATGACCATGATCCCAGAAGAAATGAAATGACAAGACACATGGTGAACAGAGCCTGTTTCCAAAGATAATTTGTACCTGAACAGGGGAGTAAAGAGCATCACTAAGAACATAGATAGCTGGAAAAATAAGCAAGTTGCTGATGGATAACAGATGATCAATGGATGAACGGCCTGGATGCTACATCGGTACCCGCAAGATATTAAAAAGGTGTTGGGTGGATCATCTATAAAAAATTTAAGAAACTTTGGGAAATAGATTGGAAAAAATCCCAGAGGATGAGAGGGCATGGAGGGTTTTGACTTGTACTTGTGCATGGAATATTACACCAAGATAATGTTAGTCTTGTGGCAAAGATAGAGAGACATGGGCTACACACAAATACTATTAGAAGGATTTGGTTGAATATCTGGACAGGCAGGGGATTCCATTCAAATGTCCCAGGAGTACTTAACCCTGTACTTTTTGTTTCTTTCTTTTTTTTTTTAAACATTTTCATAAATTATTTGAATGAAAGGCGTGTTTATCAAATTTTCACAATTGACCCAAAGCTCAAAGAAATGGCTGTCACATTATGTGACATCAGGAGCTAGAAAGTTGCTGACAAGCTTCAACTCTTGGCTGAATCTAATAAGATGAAATTTAATAGGGATAAACATAAGGCCTTAAAATTGGGTTTAAAAAATGAACTTCCCAAGTATCAGATGAAGGGGAATGGTTAGGCAACCATTTGTCTGAAAAAGAGCTGGGAGTTTAGTAGGCTGCAAGCTCAAAATGGGTGTAATATGACATCTAAAAATGCTATTGCAAAATGGATCTGAATTAAGAGAAGCATAACGTCAAGGAATAAGGGGCTGATGGTCTCTCTGTACTCGGCCCTGGTCTGATCATATTTATTGTATCTGTTTAATTTTGAGTCTTACAGGCTGATAAACTAGAGATTGTCCAGAGAAGGGCAATCAGGATGGTGAACGGCTGGGAGTCTAAATCATATGAGGATCAGTTGAAGAAAATGGATGGGAATGGTTAGCCTGGAGACAGGGAGATTCACAGGGGACATGATAACAAGAGCTAAGTATCTGAAAGTGTCATGTAGAAAAGGGATTAAGTTTGATCTGTTTCAGAGTACAGCACTATAGTAATAAATGGACAGAAGTTACAAGGAGGCAAATTGAGGCTTGATGTCAGGAAAAACTTCTTAACAGTTGTAGATGTCCCAATGCAGAATTGGTCACCTTGGTTAGTAATGGGTTCCCCATCATTGGAAGTATCAAAGCAGCTGGGGGGTGACAACTTATTGGGTATGTTGTAATGGGAATTCTCTTTCAGGGACTAGGTTGGACTAAATGGCTGCTAATGGCCCTTCCAGTTCCAAAAACCTGCAATACTAGGAAATGATGGTTCTACCAAAGTAGCAGCTCTTTGATCTCAGCCCCCTACAGCTGTTATTTGTGCCCCACTTTCCTCTGGGGTGGGGTGGCCCAAAGGCAGTGAGTGGCAATGACTTTGTGGCAATCTTTGTCTGAACTTCATGGAAGCTAAGATTTTCCTTTTGACATTTCAGATTGTAAGGCTCTGAAGTGTTGGGATCAGGCTTTATATTGATTCTACGTTAGCTACTTCATCAAGCATGATCCTGAGGATGTAGCTGTCTCTCTAAAACTTTTAAAAATGGATTAGCCAGCTGAATATAGGAATAAGAGAGTAATAGGAAATCTTGAATATAGTCCTTTTGTTGGGGGAGGGGACTGTCCAGGATACCCTCCAGATTCTGAGATTTGGTATTTTACGTTTTGAAAATGCACCAAGTGCCTGGACAGTCTATCATGGGTTCTATTGCATCCTCCTTTTAAGGCCACATTCCTGGAAGCCAGGCCCCCCACTTCTGCTGCCATCAATCCCTCAGCTTAGCATAGCTCTTCTTGAGAAAATGAGACTGTCCCTAACCAGGGGATGTTGGTAAACAGAATCTACAAGCTATTCAAGATAAGAGTCCTGTCAACAGAAAGAACAATAATGAAACAAACAAAAAAGAAATATTGGGAAATTATAAAGCCCAAACGTAGCCCCAAAGAAGAGACTGAAGAAGACTCCTTCTCCTTATCTCTCCCATCCTTTGTGGGGGGGGGGGGGCACAGGTACAGAACACTGTGAAGAATGGCAAACTTTTCACTGTGTCAATTGGTTTTGTAAACTTTTTTTGTTTCTTCCTTATTATGATGGATGGCCCTCTGTAGATGATAGGAAAGGTGACATGGGAGGAAAATGTGAAAACAAAAAAGATGAAGATACAAATTTATTTTTAAAAAGATAGCTTCTAAAACTAAAAAGAGGTTCACTTCTTGGTATAATCCAAAGAATTAAGAGAACATTGAAAAGAAAAGCTTTGTAGCAAAGAGTTAGCAGCTGTCCAAAACATCTCTCATCACTCAGGAATTTCACTATGTCGGGGATCCCTAGTACATATCTCTGAATGAGAAGGGGAGTTCTGTACTGGAACTTGAGAATTGATACAGAGCATACAAATGATGTTATTTTTTCAAAAGAGATAAATTTTAAAACATTTAGTTTTAAATATTCATGCTATCTTTTATTGAATTTGGCAACATTAAAGTTATAATACAAACTCACAAAATGTAAAACTTACATTTACCTCTCTGGTGTATATGCTGAATAAATCAGTTTTTCCATTCAAACAGAGAAGTATGTAGATAATAGACGAGAGCTATAAATTCCTTACACAAACTCCTAAAAATGCATACCAGTGCCCTGGAAGCAGATATTAATCAGTCAATTCCCTCCCTTTGCTACTGTCACAGTGAAAACTCTCTTTGCTATGTACGGTAGGCACTCTATGTTCTCAGGCTCAGGTTGAAAATATTTGCCTGTTTTTCACCAATGACAGCACGTTCATTCACCAGGCAAAAGTGAAAGAAACATTAGCCAGCAAAATGTACTTACGTGTCATCTATAAACGTTATTCCAAAATATTCCTTTTCTTTGAGGTTGAAATGTGATGCCACCAGGTCCAGCAATTCTCTTGACAAGAGTTTGGGCTGTCAAAGTAAGGATCTTATTAGAAAGAAGATTTTTTTTCCTACCTGCAATCCCTCCAACCCAAATAGTTTAAATAAGCTTTTTTGGTATTATTATTGTTTTATCATTAAACTAATCCCCATATCCACTTGTTGCTTGGGGTGAATCTGTTTGGATCTTTCTCCACAAGAAATTGAGGCTGAGGGCAGACATAAGGGTAAATTTATGGAGCCTTAAGCAATCACTCCTTTTTATATAATACTTTATAGTTTACAATGCATATTCCTTACACAACCTAGGGAGGTAGGGAGGGAAATATTTTATATATGTAAACATGTATGTATCTATATATGTATATATATATATATATATATATATTATACCTTTCATTTCAATATAATTGGTTTCTTCTGTAATCTTCCAGTATTTTATTTAATACATTTAAAAATATTATTCAGAAAAAGGGTCCCATAGGCTTCTAGACTGCCAAAGGGGCCCATGACCCCAAAATGTTAAAAAGCCTTTGAGCAGATGGTTTCTGGGGTCCCTTCAAACTCTGAGATTCCATAAATCTGTAAACGCCATAAGGTAGGTGGTTAGAGTTAATAGTTCTCTTTTTCCTGAAGAAGAACACTCAGATAGCTTAGGTAATTTACTCAAGGTCATGTGGCTAATGGTAGACCAGGTTTTCTGACCAGGATTTTTTCTATTACAATATGTCCCACTGTCTAGGGTACTTAATTTTTTTTTTAAACACTAAGGGATCAATAATCAATAATCCTGAAGGAATACTGAAAGGTCTCTCTGACTTTCACTCCTGATGGTACATTCTGGGAAGCCTTAAGCTTTATATAACAGGAAGGGGGCTATAAAGTTAGATTTTGGGGGGCTCCATGGAGTCTTGCCAGTTCAGTGCCACAATTCCATCTCTGATGGATATCTCCAACTGGATATCACGTCATCACATCAAACTCAACACATCTGTACCCCAAAACTTTGCCAGCTACCCTTTCCACACATGCCCCTCCTGATTTCCCTATTTCCATGGAAGGCACCGCCATGTTCTTGTTCACCTAAGCTCAAAATTTTGAAGATATCTTGGACCATTCCTTCCCCTTCTAAGACAACTGACTCCTCCATATTCAACTGCTATAATCTCCAACCCAACTAAAGTCTTTATTACCTCTTGCCTGGACTACTGCAATAGCCTCTCTACTCTCAAGGAGTTTACTGTCTATTAGGAAGGATGTATAATTAAGCAGATAAGTTGTATCTGGCAGCATAGTATGGTGGATAAAGAGCCAACCTAGCAGTCAGGAAGATTTGGGTTCAAGGACCACCTCTGATTCATACTGGCTGTGTGACCCTGGGCAGGTTACCTAACCTCTCAGTGCCCCAGGCAACTCTCTAGGACTATGAATTGCAGAGGAATAGCTAATCTGCATCAGTCTAGGATGTCTGTTTCCTTACTGGAAGTTCCTTAAACTAATGAAATGACAGGTTCAGGTGGCTCTTCTATAGTTACTTACATTACCTTGGACAAGTTATTTAACCTCTGTGGGCCTCAGTTTCCTCATCTGCAGGATGAAAGGGTTGTTGGACTATATCTAATATCTATTCTAGCTGTAAAGTTATGATCCTTCTCTAATCCTTCTCAAGGGGATTGTTTAATCCCTTCTAACGAATTTACTTTATTATAATTTATATTATACTTATTAATATATTGGTTTTATTTCTTCAACTAGGCTATAAAGCCCTTGACAGTAGGAACTGTATCTTATCTAAACTTTGTAGCTCCCCTAGCACCTATTATGAGTCTCTGTATATAGAGATTCTTAGCAATATTTCATTTATTCATTAATCATTCTCTCTACAAGTACTTATTAAGTACTTACAAAGTTCATAGCATTGTGCTAGGGAACAAATACAGAAACAAGATAGTCTCTGCCCTTAAGGAGCTTATATTCTATGCTTACTGAATTCCAAACTCTTCATTTTCTTTGAGATGTTGTATAACTCAGAAGGAGATTTTTAAAAAATTAGCAATTCTTTTCTGGTATCTGTTTTCCTTCCTTAAACATTGATAGTGGCTCCTCTCCCCCCCAAAAAAGGTGAGAGGAGGCCAGGATTTGGGTCCAAATGGTCTTGGGTCTTAAGAGCTAAGAGTTTGGAAAGTCTTGGAAAGGGAAGAATCATAAGATTGGAAGTCAGAGGGGAAAAAATGGAAGATACACAAGTTCAGCCTGACAGTATGTTCATTTCAGTGAAAACAATCAATAGAGGACAGACACATCCATTCCCCTTCAGCACTGAAGCCCAAGCATCCTAGCACACTGACATAGACATAAGAAATACAAACTAAAAAGGCTTCAGGTCTGGCTCAAACAAAGTACAAAACCTGAGCCAGGATGGGCTGAAGGAACTGAGGATGCTTAGTATTGAGAAGAGGAGACTCCTGGGGGACATAGTAGATAAAGAAGACATTGAGGGTTGGTGTGTTATCATGACAAAAGTGGGATTTGACTTACTCTGCTTGGCTGCAAAAAGCAGAACAGGAGCAAGAGGCGGAAATTTCAAGAGACAGGTTTGGACGAATATAAGAAAAAACCTTTGTAACTACCGCCAGAGGTGTCCCAAGGCAGGACGGAATGAGCCTCCAGGAAGTAGCACATTCATCCCTCATTAGACAATGAGAGATTTTCAAGCAAAGGCTGGATAACAACTTGCTGGGGATCAAAGGAACCAGATGTAGAATGGAACTTAGAGGTCAGCTAGACCAACCCACTCATTTTACAAATGAGGAAACTGAGGCATGGGGAAGGAAAGAGGGGCTTCTTTTCAAGTCAGTCAATGAGCATTTATTAAGTGCTTACTATATAACAGGCCTCAGACACTTACTAGCTGTGTGACCTTGGGTAAGTTACTTAACTTCTGCTTGTCTTAATCCACTAGAGAAGGAAATGGCAAACCACTCCAGTATCTTTGCCAAGAAAACCCCATGGAGAGTATTGGCATGCTATGGTCCAGGGGGTCCCAAAGAGTCAGACACAACTCAGTGACTGAACAAGAACAACAACAAATGCAATAAGCACGGTGATAAACAGTGGGGAAACAAAGAAAAGCAAATATATGGTCTTTGCCCTCGAGAGGCTCACGTTCCAAATGGGGGAGACGACAACGTGCAAATAACTACATCCGTACAAGATACACACAGTGTCAATGGACACACAGCATCGATGGAAGGTAATCTCAGAGGGGAAGGCACTGCCATTAGGGGGGATTAGGAAAGGCTTCTTGCAGAAGGGGAGCTGAGACCGGAAGGAAGCTGGGGAAGCCAGGAGGCAGAGATGGGGAGGAAGAGCATGCCAGGTGTGGAAGACAGCCAACGCAAAGGCCTGGAGTTGGAGTATCGTGTTTGAGGAACAGCAAAGAGTCCCGTGTTACTGGGATGGAGAACAGAGGTGTCAAACTCGAGTGAGCTGCCTCGAAACCAGATTAAAATGTAATTGGGAACTATTCAAGAAGACCAATAAAATATGATACCATACAGATAATGTGAATTTGTGGTTTTCTAAGTCAGTATGCAGCTAGCAGGGATCCATTTCTCTTTGAGTCTGACAACACCACTGTTACATAGCACGTGGAGTAAAGTATAAGGAGACTGACTAGATAGGAAAGGGCCAAGTTGTGAAGTGCTCTAGAGGCTAAATGGAGGAGTTTGCATTTGATCCTGAAGGTAATAGAAAGCCATTGAAGTTTCCTGAGTGAGGGTGAGAGGTAGGGTAGAGCACCCTGTGTGACATGGTTAGAAATCATTTTGGCCATTAAGTAAAGAATGGACTGGAATGGGGAGAGATGTGAGGCAAGGAGACCTTAGGAGGCTATTCCAATAGTACAGGTATAAAGTGACGAGAGTCTGCACTATGGTGGTCAGGTGGTGTGAAAAGAAAGAAGGGACATATGGGGGAGATGCTGTGAAAATAGAAATGACAAGAGTAGAGGAGAGAAGGGATATGTGGGGTGAGGAGGAGTGAGGAGTTCAGATAACCCTGAGGTTGAAATCTTGGATGCTAGAAGGATGGTGACAACCTCCACAATAATAGGAAAGTTGGGAAGAGGGGAGGGCTTACAGGGAAAGGTCCCATCTAGCTCTGAGCCCCCATGCTTTTAGGGGAGGATATCCCTGAAAAACTGGACCCACCATATCAGGAGTCCTTTCCTATCAGGGTAAGATGCCTGGCCCTAGAGCAAAGGCTGACTTGAACTTGCTTACCCAGGAGCCCATCTGAACAAAGCCACAGGCTGGAATTTTAACGAGCAGAAATTGGGAAGGGGCCTCTTACCTGCACCAGCAGCTCCAGCTTCCTGTCATCAAGGAGGTGTACTTGGCAGTGTCGGCCTTCCGTCATCTGTGGAGGAAGGCAGACGTGGAAGAGTCATTGGGAGTGTGCTGGGCAATGTCTACATCACAGCGAATACTGTTATCATTTCATCAGTGTGGGGAACTTTCCTGAAAGAAGGCTCCTTCTGTGAATGCATATTAGCAACTCATCTATAATTTACCTTCTTAAAGAATTGCTTAGGCAGTGACTTGTGCAGGGTAACTCACTAGTATCTGTAAGAGACAGGACTTGAACCCAGATCTTCCTGTCTTAAAGGTAAGCTCTGTATGGCAAGGCAACTAGTTGACTCATAGGACAGAGTATTGGGACTCAGGAAGACTTGAGTTGGAATCCTGCCTTAGACTCTTACTAGCTGGGCAAGCCATGCACCCGTCCTCAGCCTCAGTTTCCTCATTGGTAAGAAGGGTATAATAATATCACCGACTTCCCAGGGTTCTTGTGAGGATCAAATGGGATAATGTGCCAAGAGCCATATTAATGCTGGCGATTTATTATTATCTACCATCTGTCACGTTGCTTCCCACATGGCAAGGGCCATGAACATTGTAAAAGCCCCTAGCATACAGAAACACAAATTATCCTCATTTATCATGATGGCAAATGCTAGTTATCCAATGTAATGACATCTGAGCCTGATTTGATGGAATGTTGCTCTTTTGGGCAGAAAACTAGCCAAGCAGGTAGATATGAGCTCCGAGAAGGCTGAGGTCATGGCTCCATTGCTCTGGGTGGCAGTTTGCTTTGTTCTGTGTATGGGACTTGTTACTGCACTTAGCCGCGTACGATTCTGGTCATAAGTCATCGGAACCTTTTTTTGGATCCTCAACATTCAGAGCAGTATCTGGCACATAGCAAGCACTTAATAAATGTTTATTGACATTCCTGAATTGAATTCAACAGGGAGAGGGCAAGAGTATGGTTAAATCAGAGTGACTCCGTCATCAGTGATGACGTGGTATCATGGACAGGAAGCAGAGTTTGGCGTCAGGAAGACTTGAGTTCAAATCCCCCATCTCAGATGCTTACTAGCTGTGTAACCCTGAGCAAATCATTTATGTTTGCTATGCCTCAGTTTGCTCATTTGTAAAATGAGGAGATGGACTTTATGACCCCTTCTAGTTCTACATCTATTATCTTAGGATGATTACCGGCAAAATGAAAACCCACACTCTGGCAATTGTGACACTATTGTACATAAAAGGCAACAAGCTAGGCGTGGAGGTCCACATGGACAAATCGGGCTGCATGGCTGAATTGCATGGGTATGGATCCCTTAAGGAAAGCATTAAAAAAAAGCATTCTGATATATATGAAACATTAGTCAGTGTGGTACAGCGGATGGAGAGTTGGTGATTAAGTGAAGTCATCTTTCTGTCACACACAGGACATGTGACACTCAACAAGTCACTTAATCTTATAGTATCCCAGGCAATTCCCCAAGACTCTGCAAAACTAAGTTAGGTGCTGGTCTATACGGGTAAAGGGAATTCTCACTGGGACTCCCCTATACCAGTGTAATCACAGGCCCTTTCAGAATTAATAAAATATTTCTAATTATATTACATGCTAATTCTCTCCTGGTCTGGTGAATAAGCCACTTCCTGCTCAAAAGATATCTCTAGGGATTGGTCCTTTTGGCCCTTAAAATGTTCTTGTCAACAACAGAAAATTTTATCAGAAATTTGCATGTTTCTATGTCTGAGCAGAGCAATCTGTTCTTAAAGATAGCACTCCCCATGTGACTTAAACACATACCCATGACAACTATTTGTTTTGTAGACAGCCATAAAACAGCCAATAATAATAATAGCTGGCATTTATATAGCACTTTAAAGCTGACAAAGCACTTTATATTAATTACTTCATTTTTTCTCACAACAACTCTGTGAGGTAGCTGCTGTTAAAACCCCAATTTTAGAGATGAGGAAATAGCCTAAGAGAACTTCAAAGTAACTCGCCCAGGGATTCAAACTCATGTCTCCCTGACCCTGAGTCCACCTTTTGGAGTGTACTGGGTAACATGACTATAATATAATGTGGCAAGTGACAATCTGGGAGATGGCCTGGGAAGGCAGTGTGGATGACCTGGGGAGAAACAATATTAGCAATTTAATACCACCTTAGAGAAACACAACAGCCTTGTATCTCTTTGCCTGGATAGATTACACAGCAGGTCAGAGCACAGGTGAGGTCATCACCTGCAACTGGGAGATTTACCTTCTAATTTATTTAGAAGCACCTTGGAGTCGACCATTGAGCAGTGGTAACACTTCTTCAAGGTAACATGCCAGGTCTTTGTCTTATATAGAAATGTTCCCAGATGACCTTTTCATGAACCGCTCTACCCCTTCATATGGTTGGTTGTATTTTCACAGTTTTGGACGTCAGGTGGAGCTTGGAAAGACCACTAGCTTTGGAATCAGGGAAGCCCTGGGTTTGAATCTCACCTCTGACACTTAATAATAATTGTGTAACCATGGGCAAGTCACTTAACTGTTCTCAGGCTCAGTTTCCTCATCTCTAGAATGTGAATAATAATAGTCCCTATCTCACAGGGTTGTTGTAAGAATCAAATGAAATAATTTATATAAAGGGCTTTGCAAACTTCAAAGTACAATATGTTAGCTACTATAGCAATCCATGTTTTGGCCACTTCTGTATTGAGATGAGGATGAATCATTTTTGAAGGCAACATGATTATATAGTTCCTATTTTCTGCAAAGCCATTGCATTGAAAAGTAAGCAATACAATTTTTATAGAATAATAGCTAGCATTTGCATATTGACACAGGTTTGCAAAACTCTTTAGATGTGTTAGCTCATTTGATCCTCATAGCAAGGAGGTAGGTGCTAGGCACCGTGCTAAGCACTGGGGATACAGAGAAAGTTAGAAGAGGAAACTGAGCCTGAGAGTGGTCAAATGATTTGCCTATGGTTTTGTAGCTAAGAATTTATATTCTGAGTTCTCCCAACTTTCTATAGGATAAAAAGTATTTCCTCATTATACAGACAGATAAAATTCACATACAGATTAATATTTCTAATTGCCCTATTGACATAGGGCAACAGAAGAATAAGGAAGAAACTGCCTAGTGATGAAAAAGGAACAAAAAACCTCTTCTAACATTTCCTTTCCATAGTAAATAAGGAGGTAGAAATGGAAAAAAAACCAACCAAACTATTATACAAAGAACTGAAAAACAAGTTGCCTCCCCATCCTACAAAAGCCCACTTTAAGTAATGCCTGATCCAAGCACATTTTCTCCCTTAAAACAAGTAGATTCGTTAGCTTTCAAGACACTTTAAAGAAATGAGCTGGGCATCTCTACTTATTTTTAACCTCTTCCCCCACCAATTATGTTCCATTTGAAAGTTTCCACAATGGGAGCTGTATCTGAGAGCAGCAAAATCGCTACCAAAAAGGAAGCATCATAATTATAGCTATAAATGCAGAATCATTTTCTGAAACATGCAGGGGCAAGCAGAATAGGTTTTGATACCAGCACCAGGCAGCAGCAGATAACAGTCCCAAAGCTTTGTGGTTTATGAAATACACGCAAAAAAAGATGCCTAAGTCCCATTTCTCTTCTTCTCCTCCTTCCTATTCTACAGACTCCCTTTGCCCTCTGTCCCTAGTCCCACCAGAGGGATAAGAGATGAAAAATTTGGTTACTGGATAAAATCCCACCTCAGGCACCGATGGCTCTGAGTCCACTCTCCAGCTGACCCAAGTGTGTCTTCACGATCCCTGGGCTGAGTCCTGGTGGCTGGAAGCTGTCCATCTGGTCCAGCACTTTGGGTACCTCAGGGACTCTTCTCCTTAATGGAGGACTGCCGGGAAGGGACCTGGGAGTCCAAGTGGAGGTCAGGTCTCCTGGTCTGTAGCCCAAGGAGCAATCTAATCTAGCAGTCTGGGGTGGGGGATGGGGAGTGGGGTGGGGTGAAAGTCAGCCTGGTGAGTGTCACGCTCTTCCCAGGTAGCCAGATTTAAAGATGCACTTCCCAGAGAGAAGCACAGATGCGAGGCAGCTGGGGAGAACTCTGAGGTCCAAATGGAGGCGGGACACTCCAAGACTCTTCACAACAATTGGGGTCAGTAGAAAAGGCAACAGGAAGCAGAGGCCCAGGCCAAGCTTCTGGTTTTGTTGCAGAAGTTCTTAGGAAAACGGAAATGTGAATGCTGGGTAAGGAAACAGAGATTTGCTTTTTCTTTTAAAAAGATGTCCCACCAAAGACCAAGCAATGATGCCAATCTATTCATGTTGTAGGAGGCTTTATCCCTATATGGGCCACAGGGCTAATGATCAAATAACCTAAGTTTACAGGGCTCTTGAAGACTTCTCAAAGATGTTACCCAAGCAAGTTCACCAATTAACCAAGCAATGCATATTTATTAAACAAAACTGTAAAAACAAACAACTTTGAAAGACTTAAAACTCTAATCAAGCAGTGACCAAATGCCATTCCAAAGGGCTGCTGATGAGGAAGGGCTACCTATCCCCTGACAGAGAGGTGAAGGATTCAAGGAGCAGAATGAAACAGGTTTTTTGGGGGATATGGGCCAGTAAAATAATTTGTTTTGCTTGAGTATGCATGTTTGTTAAAAGAGTGTGTGTGTGTGTGTGTGTGTGAGATGGAAAGAAGAAAAAAAAATTGTTCATTGAAAAACAAATTAAGCAAAAAAACCCCAAAAGGTATATTTTAAACACCTGCTATGTGCTAGGTACTAGGCTAGGCCCTGGGGATCCTAGTACAAAGAACGAGACAATGCCAACTGCTAAGGAGCTTATAGTTTTATAGAAGAGACAACAAATACACACACACATACATGCACACAAACAACAGGAGTCCTTAACCTTTCTTTGTGTCATGGACCCCTATGACAGTCTGATGAAGCCCATGGACACTAACAGGCTTTGGACAGCTACATTGAAGAACTGTTTGCTGCAGACAGGGTGACTATAATCATGTGTGATCTAGCAGCCAGTCTACTGACTACAACAACT